CCTCCTCTCTTCCTCTCTCGAACCCCTAACGCCATTGAAGCGTTACAGAGAGATCTCGAGCGAAATTTCCCTTTGCATGTATGTACCCAAACCTAATTCCATTTTCACTCATGATTCTATCTCCGTCGTGTTCTTCCGATTTGGCTCCGCGATTTCTCGTCTGATTCTGCAAACGGGAGAGATTCATAGAGAGAGAGAGAGAGAGAGACCGAGAGAAATGCCAGGCGTGGCTGTGAAGCTCTACAGCGTGTTCTTCAAGTTTCTCTTGAAGCATCGTTTACAGAATCTGATCCAAGATCCACTCGACGAATCCACCCCTTTTGGAGTCACATCTCGTCCCGAAGAAACCGTCGCTTCCGCTAATCCTCTGTTCACCGACGGCGTTGCTACCAAGGATATCCATATCGATCCCTTCACATCTCTTAGTATTCGGATCTTCCTTCCTGAATCTGCTCTTACTCCGCTTGAATCCGATTCGAATCCCTCTTCCAAATCGTCCAGGGCAAAACCTAAACGCCCTAACCAAGATGCTCAGCCTGATCTTGTTAATCAGAATCTGAATAACTTACAGCCATATAATACGCGCCGTAATAGCTATGGTCCTTCGGGAAATTCCGCGGAAGAACCGCGGACGAGTAGGTATGGGGGTTACAGTAATGAAATGGACGGGTTGAATTTGATTTCCGGCGCTGCTACCGGTGGCGTTTATAGAGGGTATGCGCCAGCCACGGAGAACAGCCGGAGGTTGCCTGTGATGTTGCAATTTCACGGCGGGGGGTGGGTTAGTGGGAGCAATGGTTCGGCGGCGAACGATTTCTTTTGCCGGAGGATTGCGAAATTGTGCGATGTTATTGTTGTCTCTGTTGGGTATCGGCTTGCACCCGAGAGCCGGTTTCCAGCTGCGTTTGAAGATGGGTTGACGGTGTTGAATTGGCTGGGGAAGCAGGCCAATTTGGCCGAGTGTAGCAAGTCTTTGGGAAATGCCATAGACAGTGACAATGAGTTTAAGAAATCGGATTCTCATGGGCATATCGTCGACGCGTTTGGGGCGTCAATGGTAGAGCCTTGGCTTGCAGCCCATGGAGACCCAACAAGGTTTTCATTTTTGATATCAGAATTCTTCTTAGTACATTTTGTTGCTATCATATGGCTTAATGTTGTGTTGATGAAATTGCTTTGATTTCCTTTGTTCTTTGTGTGTTAATGAACCTGGTTAGTATTTGGTATGGTTGAACCCTTCCCCTCATCCACACCTTCCATTACAAGGAACTGCCTTTAGAAGCATGGCTCAGGAAAAGACCCAAGTAGGATGAAGGGAAGACCTAAACTTCACGACCCACAAAGTTAGCCCACCTCCCAAGCTTGAAGGAGTCGCCATTAACGTATAAACTTCACAACCCACAAAGTTAATGTAACGGCTCAAGCCCACCGCAAGCAGATATTGTCCTCGGGTGATGTGCCAACGATGGGGTTGGGCCATTACAAATGGTATCAGAGCTAGACACCGGGTGATGTGCCAGCGAGGAGGTTGTGTCCCCTGAAGGGGGTAGACAAGAGGTGGTGTGCTAGTAAGGATGCTGGCCCCGAAGGGGGTGGATTTGGTGGGGGTCCCACATCGAGTGGAGAAAGGAACGAGTGCCAGCGAGGACACTGGGCCCTAAAGGGGGTGGATATTGAGATCCCACATCAATTGGGGAGGAGAATGAAACACACTTTATAAGGGTGGAAACTTTTCCCTAGCAGACGCATTAAACCTTGAGGGGAAGCCGGAAAGGGAAAGCCCAAAGAGGACAATATCTGCTAGCGGTGGGCTTGAGCCGTTACAGTTAGCCCACCTCTCGAGCTTGAAGGAGTCGCCATTAATGCATAAAATTTGCCATTTGCCTCGTTTAATCCTAAATCTTGAGATCATATCAGAAAAGGCTAACATACGATTCAAAATGATAAAGAACTCCTCCTTTGCCAAAGCAAAAGAAGATAGTACCTCTTCGAACTGAAGGTGAAATAGGTGAACCTTGTCCTTACCAATTTGAAAACCGTCTAGAATAGACCAGAGGATCACCTTCTCTAAGACTTCTAGAGACATGAATTCTTCCCTGCTTACCATAGAGCAAGATAGAATACTTCACATTCCTTGAACAACCCTCCATCCAAAATCACTATTTCGGCCCATGTCCCTTCTTCTTCATCACCTTATGTAGAAAAGTCCAATCCACATGATCGGAAGCTCTCCGAAAGTCAATCTTGAAGATGATCCCGTTTTTTTTTCGAGCTCTATAATCCTCAATGGTCTCATTTGCAGTTAGATCTTGGCCTAAGATCTGCCTGCTAGCAAGAAATGCCCCTTGAGCAGCAAAGATCGTTGAGGGGAGAACCTTTTTAACCCAGCAAGGATTTTGGAGATAACCTTATACACTAGTAATAAGATCAATGGGTCTAAAGTCCTTTACCTTTGATGCCTTATCCTTCTTAGGGTTTAAGCAAAACAAAGGTATTGTTGAGCACATTATTGAGAATTCATCTCTTGTAGAATTGACTGACGACTTTCCAAACATCCTTCTTAATAACCTCCTAATTGTCTCGGAAGAAAGTTGAAGAAAACTCATCCAAACCTGTGGTTGTGTCTCTATCTGACCGACATCCTTTTGACCTCCCTCCAAGGAGAAGGGTGCCTCAAACGGATCTCTATCCTTGGGAGATAGGACACCGATCCACCCGCTCTAAAAATGAGTGAGGATCAACTAATGACCCATAAAAAGAGAAGTAAATGAAGAATGTTGTCCTCAATCAGTCCTAGATTAATAGAGCTTCTTCAATCTCCTTCTCAATGGTTTGATGAAGTTCTTATTTTTTCTACCGCCAACAACTTTATAGAAATGAACCGAGTTACAATCATCCTCACTTGCCCATTTAACTTCTGCGTTTTGAATCCCACTTGCACACTCTTGTCTGGTGATTTCTGCAAACCCAACTTTCAAATTTAGTCGCTCCTCCTTCACAGCCTCAAATAATCTCTCCTCTATCTCTTCCAACATGTGAAAAGCTTCAAGTTTCCCCAAAATATCCTTTTTCTTGACCCTAACGTCCCCAAAAACTTCCCTATTCCAAGACTTAAACTTCTCTTTGATTGAGTTGAGTTTTCGCAAAAAGCGGCGAAACCCCTCCCCTCTTCCTGCAACCTTAGATTGCCACCAACGAGAGGATGAGGTTTTAAAAGATGGATGGGACAACCATATGCTCTTACCCTGAAAGAGTTGGATCGCATTTTACCAAATCCGAGTCGCAGCAAAGAGGCCAATGGTTCGAGATAATCCATCCTAGGACCCAAGAATTGCCTCACATTATTGAACACTTCCATCCAACCTCTTGAGAGGAAAAGTCCATCATTACCGCTTCTGGTTCACTGGTAGCTTTCTAGACGTTAAAATTTAAAGCATTGAAGCAGTCAGCTTCACAATGCCTTAGGCTCGTATGATATGCTAGTATGATCAACCAAATTGATATTTAATCTGCATAATCTTTCAATCGTTGGTCTTCCTAATCCAATCATATTGTATTAGATTTTGTTAGGGGCTCTATTGAACGACGTATTCAAAGAGTCAGTTCTTTGTTCTGAACTGTTACTGGTAGGATGGTTAAGCAGTTATAATAGAATTTTGCATCCTTTTCCTCTGAATATTCGTTGAAATCATTGGATAGAATCCTTTTTGCCCAAGTATCTTGGCTGAACGGATGTGTGAGATCCCACATCGGCTGGGGAGGAGAACGAAACACTCTTTATAAGGTGTGAAATCTCTCTCTTGCAGACGTGTTTTTGAAGAGGTCCGAAAGGGAAAACCCAAAGAGGACAATATCTGCTAGCAGTGGACTTGGGCTGTTACATGATGCTTCTTTGAGAATTGAGATTCATGATGTCGAATGTTAGCACTGCCAATTAAATGGCAAGAAAGAATCTCTTCTTGTTTTTAGATTTTAAAATTTGTTCTCTGTTGCCTTCCGAAAACGTTCAAGATAAAAAGAAGTGAATATTTAAGGAGGTACGGGCTACCGAGATAGGTTTGGATGTCGTCGGTATCCACCAAAAAAACCCCTTTTATCTATTGTTCTCTACAGTTGGTTTCCTTTTTCGCTTTTTTGGAAAAATAATTGACTGTTGTCTTTTGTATAGGTCCCTTTTGTAGTGGTCTTTCTTTCATTCCCTTTCATAGAAGCAAGAAAGATCCTCGGGGTAGTAACTTGACCTTGTTTTTTCTTTTTCTTTTGAGCAGATGTGTTCTTCTTGGGGTTAGCTGTGGAGCAAATATTGCAGATTATGTGGCTAGAAAGGCCGTCGAGGCTGGTAAGCTCTTGGACCCTGTAAAGGTTGTTGCACAGATTCTCCTGTATCCGTTCTTTGTCGGGAGTGTCCCTACGCATTCAGAATTGAAGTTTGCGAATTCGTACTTTTACGATAAAGCTATGTGCCTTCTTGCTTGGAAGCTGTTCCTACCTGAGGAAGAGTTTAGTCTTGATCATCCAGCTGCAAATCCCCTTGCTTCTGGTAGAGAAGGCCCACCTTTAAAGCTTATGCCACCGACACTGACAGTGGTGGCTGAACTCGACTGGATGAGAGATCGAGCCATAGCATACTCCGAAGAACTTCGAAAAGTAAATGTTGATGCACCTGTTCTTGACTATAAGGATGCAGTACACGAATTTGCTACCCTCGACATCCTTCTCAAGACACCTCAAGCCCAAGCTTGTGCAGAGGACATCGCCATCTGGGTCAAAAAATATATTTCACTACGAGGCCACGAGTTCTCTTATTGATGTGTATTCTGAAGAAACCAAGACATAAACCGAGTCGAGGTAATGTCACGGTTAGAGATCATGTCGTGTACTTCGAATGAGGGAGTGTAACATTTTTTCATAAGCTGTTAAATCAAGTTTTGTTCCTCCTTACATTTTGATCTTTTGTAAGATAGAGAACCCTGAGATTAGGAGGATGGATACATATATCATTGGTCTTGTAATGTAAAATGTTTCCGATTCTCTTTCGAAAGCGAGCACCGAGATTAAACATCGTTCTTCCTATTTTACCCCCACGAATTGTGTACAATTTTCTAATATTCAAGAACAATCTGGCATTACAAATAGAGAAGTTCCTGGGCACCATTAATGGAAGGTTAATGGCAGCCCTAGCGGTTAATGGCAGCCCTAGCGGTTAATGGCAACCCTAGCAGCCAATGCTCTAAGATTAGCTCTAGCCAAGGACACTGAGCTTCTGGTTTGCACTTGATTATCTCTGAAAGCCTCCATAAACTCTTCCCTCCGCAATCTCAGTGCCAAAGCAGCCTCCTGATCTTGATCTGGCGTACCTCTCCTCCTACTCACATCTGCATCTCGAGTCGTCGTCCTCACCGGCCGAACACTTCGATGGTGCATTCTGGACTGAACTCTGCTGCTTACAGCATTTGAAAATGGAGCTTGCTGCATCATTCTACCGTTCGATTCGCCATCCTCATCTCGACCCATTATTTCCCTTCTTCTTGAGCTAGTACTACCATGTCTACTCGATGTTCGGGTTGCTCGCATGTTATGGTTCGACGAACTACTATAGAAGGCCTTTTCTGTGTCTTGAATCTTCTTGTCATGGCTACTACACCCTCCTTTTGCTTCCTTTCTTGCTTCAACCTCCTGAGGAAAAAGAAGTTGTATGGTGTTCCAAAGAACTGTATTTACAGTGCAAGATCTCCCATTGCTGCAAATTTAAGATCAGCACAAGAGACATGTAAGCATTAATGTCTGAAAATAAAATGATCCAAATGATTTGGTTTCATGGAACTTCCGGAGTAGCAAATTCAACCTTATTAGCTGCCTGCATTTAGGGCACTTTTTTCCACATTTGTCAGCTGCAGATCTCAGACATTTCTTGCAGAAACTACAATATTCAAGCAGAAAAGAAGACAATTTAGAATGGTACAGTAACAACTTCAGAACTAACAACAATAGTTCAGCATGCAGTTTACCATTACCCTGTGTTCATCTTTGTTGTAAGGGTCCAAGCTCACCGCTAGCGGATATTGTTTTTTTTGGGTTTTCTCCACAAGGTTTTAAAACGCGTCTATTAGAGAGAGGTCTCTACACCCTTATAAGGGATGTTTCGTTCTCCTCTCCAACCGAGTGAGATCTTACCATCTTAAACTTTCAATTTTATGACTTTTACACGTCCTCAAAACTTAATAAGGTCATAAAGGTCAATGACATATTAGCTACTTTTCAACTTTTAGGGATCAATAAACACAAATTTAAAAGATCGGAGACTCGTTAGAGAACCCTTTAAAATTTATGGATTTAGCATGAAAAGTCGAGAGGAATTCTCAATTCATAATTTAACCTAAAAAATTACTCCACAACTCAAACAACTTTCATATACAATTTAGTATTCAGAACAGAGCATCTCAACATTTAGGGTTCAATCAAACTCAAAAGAACCAAAAATAAGATTCAAGTGTAAGAACAATGAGTCAGTCTAGAGGGAGTTACCTATGGCCACAAGGTGTAGTACTAGGTTCAAAGCAAATTTCCAAGCAAATCTATGAAGAAGAATTGAAAACAAAGCAATTAGGAATAAGATAAGTATCCAAAAAAGCTAAAGGTTGAAAGTTGTGAGAGAGAGTATCCTTACAGCACAAGAAAGCTCTTCTCTGAGCTTATCCATGCATGGAAGAGTTGAACATGTTGAAGAAGAAGAAGAAGCACCAGCTTTCTGTTCATCCAATGAATCACTTTTCTTTGGGTCAGCCTCTGCTGTTTCTTGATCTTGTTTTGGAGCATCATCTGTTCATATCATTTGCTACAACAATTACTACTTGAATGAAAGAAACTCGAAAATGGTGGTTTTAAGATTAATTTTCAACAACGAAACACTAATCGAACTGTTATGACCCAATTTTCAAAACTTTGAATTGAAGACTATGGCACGTAATGACATTAGAAGTACAATAAATTTTGCTGTAACGACCTAGACCCACCGCTAGCAAATATTGTCCTCTTTGAGCTTCCCCTCAAAGGCTTTATTAAAAGCCGTATGCTAGGAGAAGGTTTCCACACCCTTATAAATGGTGGTTTGTTCTCCTCCCCAACCAATGTGGGACATCACAATCCACCCCCGGGGCCCAGCGTCCTCGCTGGCACTCTTTCCTTCCTCTAATCGATGTGGGACCAGCCCCAAATCCACCCCCTTTTGGGGCCCAGTGTCCTTACTGGCACACCACTTCGTGTCTACCGAAGGCCAGAAGTCTGACACATTGTCCGATGTTTGGCTCTGATACCATTGTAATGACCCAAATCTACCGCTAGCAAATATTGTCCTCTTTGGGTTTTCCCTTTCGGGCTTCCCCTCAAGACTTTAAAACGCATCAGCTAGAGGAAGGTTTCCACACCCTTTGGGGCTCTGGTACTATTTGTAAAGGAAGGTTTCCACACCCTTTTGGGGCTCTTATACTATTTGTAAGGGAAAGTTTCCACACTCTTGGAGCTCTGATACCATTTGTAACGACCCAGATCCACCGCTAGCAAATATTGTCTTCTTTGGATTTTCTCTTTGGGGCTTCCCTTCAAGGCTTTAAAACGCGTCTGCTAGGGAAAGGTTTCCACACCCTTACAAATGGTGGTTTGTTCAACTCCCCGGTCAATGTGGGACATCAGATTTGCACAATTCAAAAAACAAACAACACTACATTTAATCTAAGTGCAGATCAAAGTTTATTAGGAAACCGAGACGGATACAAATTTAAATGGATCATAAACACCTAGTTCTCATGATCTGAGTCTCAATTAGAAATTTGGTAACCAAATCCTCCAAGAATTTTCTAGAAATTAGGGACAAATGGAAATCCGAATCCTCCAAGCAATGGAAATGGAAATCTACCTTTCACAGTCGATTCTTCTTCCTCGAGGTCAAGAACAGCCGCCGGAATCGAGATTAAGTTTGCCGAAGCCCTTCGTTTCCTACAAAAAGCACACAAGAAATGAACTCAAATTTCAGACAAAACAACTCCAATCAATCCGAATAGAAACCCTAGAATCTGCGCATAGATATGGAGGAACCGAGAGAAGAATCAGAATCGATAAATATATAGTCTACCTTCTCGAACCAGACAGAGGACTCTTGCACTGGAGAACTAATCGTTTCTTCTGCCGGAACTCTCTGTCCGGCGTGTCTTCGACGACGAGGCTCGCGATTAGAAGCGCTTCTTCGTCCCAGCCGGCCATGGCGGCCGCCGATTTGAATCTAGGGCTAAAGTAACCCGCGCCATCATTTCCGATTTCGAGCGGTTTCGATCCAACCGTTTCTCGTTCTGGCTCTGAAGCGCTTGTTGTCGATCCCTCTTGCACCATTTCAGATCGGATTCGAATCGGTGAAGGAGATCATCAACGAGAGAGTGAACAGTGTTTTTTTTTTCTTTGGTTCAACTCAGAAGAAATGGATTAGTTCAAAACGATGAACTTCCCAACGGTCGGATTTTGTTCGTATTTGAATGCGGTTCGGGTCGGTATTTTCTTTTGCAACGGCTATAATTAATTATTATGTTTTAAATGATAATTATTAATAGATTAAATTAATAAAAATATTGTATAAGTTGGCTGTGTAAAACAAAAACTTTTTACTTTTTAATTTTCAAACGTTTTAATAATATTTCTGAAAAATTAAAAAAATATCTTTAAATTTTTAAAAAATTTAAAATTATGTTAAATTGACTGTAAAGTTGCTATAGTAGATAAATTGACGTGTACCTATTATATTAAATTTTAATAATGATCGGTATAAATTGACGTGTACCTATTATATTAAATTTTAATAATGATCGGTTAAGATCATAGTTTATCGTGTCTATCAATACTTTTTAGGTTAAATAACGAAGCATATTAGGATTTATCGAGTTGAGTTTCTTTCCGCATTGCAACTTTATTCAGTTGGACAACCGTTACGTCCAGCGAGAATGACTTGGAGAACTTTTGCCAAAAAATAAAGAAACATCTATTACAGTAAGTCACTTCTCAAACCAAAATACAAAATAACATTTCCCAAAATCTATGAAAAGTGAGACATTTATAAGTTTAGTTTACGAACTTTTAGGTAATGTCAGTGATGAATATGTCATAGATCTGTTGGACATAAAATAAAAAATTTAAGGACTAACAGTTATATATTAGACCTTATTATTCAAAGGGGAAACGACTCCTTAGACTTTATTATTCAAAGGGGAAACGACTCATAGACAGTGGCTTGGTTAAGCACCAGAGCCATAGCAAAAACGAATTTTTATGGGGCAATTATCACTGCTTATAAACTCGAACCTGTGCTTGGTTAAGCACCAGAGCCATAGCAAAAACGAGTTTTCATGGGGCAATTATCACTGTTTATAGACTCGAACCTGTGATCTATCCATGATCAAGATGAAGTTTGGGTGAAACTAAGTGGAGGTCTGAACCGACTGATGTTGAAGAATCAGCAGATGAGTTATGGTTAAGAGAGAAGTGTCACTCGAACTCAGAACTAGTTGGTTCTCCTTGAAATGCATTGAGACACTCTTAAGTTAAGAGACCAAGTAAACACCGCCCTCCCGAAAGTTTAAGAGTTAGAATTTACCATCAAAGGAAATGTTATGATACAAAAATCTTATTGCTCCCGAGATGATGGGTTTGTATTTAGAGCTCTATAATTACAAATGATGAGGGAAAACAAACTCCTTAAAACGAACAAGCTTTGCCCTCTCTACCTAAAAAGTGATCGAGAAGATGTTGTCCGGTTTGGCCCGTTACGGCCCGTTACGTAAATAAATATGCATATTGTTAATGAAAGGGCAAGAGTTTCTTTCTATTCTACGAAGGTTTTTTCTTTCTTCCACTTTCCGAGAGGCGCTTCAACACTTGTGGTCTCGTTCGCATTCCTCTGCAAAATGAACACGATTGTCAAGCCAAGGTCGAACCTTTCATCGACTGATACAAATGGAAGGTAGGCCGGTCTAAGGAGAGATACCTCTTATATAAGTAAACGAAGACATAGAAAAACAGCACAATAAGTATGGTCAAAACTGAAATAACGACGTAGGACCAACTCGTCCTAACCTGCACGAAGAATGCATTCGACAAAAAGAAAGTTCATCAGAGGTTTTCAGTAGTACAAGTGCAAGAAAAGAATAAAGTCTACAATGACATGTTCATCCACTCGATATTTGATTCATGTAGAAGCGATATTTGTAACATATGGGTGGACGGGTGACGAGGTCTTTGGAGGAGGTGGTGAATATGGTTGGACGGGTGACGAGGTCATTTCTGGTAGTTGGGGACTCTTTTTGTGGGTTTACATTTTGTATGTTCTTGTAGATTGTAACAACTCAAACCCATCACTCGTCTGCTTTAGCATGTTATATATCGTCGTCAAGTCTCACGGTTTTAAATGTGTCAGGGAGAGGTTTCCACACCCTTATAAGGAATGTTTTATTCTCCTCTCTAACCCATGCAGGATCTTACAATATATATCGTCGTCAAGTCTCACGGTTTTAAACGTCCTTGTTGACACACCTCCTAGTGTCTAACTCTGATACCATTTATAACACCCCAAGCCCACCGCTAGAAGATATTGTCCACTTTGGCTCATTACATATCGTCGTCAGCCTCACGATTTTAAAACGTGTCTGCTAGGGAGAGGTTTCCACACCCTTATAAAGAATGTTATGTTCTCCTCTCCAACTGATCTGAGATCTCACAATCTACCCCCTTTGGGGGCCAGCATCCTCACTGATGTTAGGCTCTAATACCAATTGTAACCGCTCAAGCTCACTACTAATAGATATTATCCGCTCTGGTTCGTTACGTATCGTCGTCAGCCTCACGATTTTAAAACGCGTATGCTAGGAAGAGGTTTCCACACCATTAAAATGAATGTTTCGTTATCCTCTCCAACCGATGTAGGATCTCACAATCCACACCCTTGGGGGCCCACCCAACGTCCTCGCTGACACACCTCCTGGTGTCTAGCTCTGTACCATTTGTTACAGCCCAAGCTCACCGCTAGCAGATATTATCCACTTTGGCCTATTATATATCGCTGTTAGTCTCACGGTTTTAAAACATGTCTGCTAAAGAAAAGTTTCCACACTCTTAAAAGGAATGCTACGTTCTCCTCTCCAACCAATGTGGGATCTCACATAGATTCTTTCTTCTTTTTCGATGAAAGTTGGGTTTTTTTAAAAAAAGAAAACGGGTTAGAATTGTTTTCTTGCTAGCTGTTAGAACAGGAAGAGACCGATGAACCTTAGATGATTATTGGATAAACAAGTGAATTTGATGCAGTAACGAAACACAAACTTCAGATGATTTGACTGAACAATTCTTACGTATGTTAAAAGTTCATTGACAACACAACAAGGCATGTTGATATTTTTCAGAGCCGATCAAGATAAGAGAGACCAATGTGATAACTTGAAGATTACTCAATGTCACGGTCATGCTTGTCCAAAGCGTATTGTCTATGGCCGCATGGCCGCACAACAGATGTCCCGATCTTACTTGTCCAAGACATATTGTCTATGGTTGCATACTCGTTCCAAAACCCCTTTTACATGCTTTCATCCTAAATAGGCCTTTACCATTTCACGTTGGGACAATACGAGGGTGTATGACCATTTACCAAAACCATGTTTACACTCGCCAGGGCTAAAATGCCCCAAAATGTACTATAGGGGATATGACTAGTTGTCATTTCTTCTTACCTATTTAAGCCGTGATATTTCTTAATTTGCTTATAGTCATATAACGTTGTTTTCTTCAATTCTTCAAACCGTTTCAAATGTATTTCCTCGCGCACGTTTTCTAAACCTTTTCTCTCAACATGACTCGAGGTTTGAACATATGTCGACGTTGTCCGTGATGTCCGAATTTCTCACGGCTGACTTGTTCGCTTGGTTAGAACAAGTGCCGCACAATCGCTCTCTCGCTATTACAAGAGTGCGATTGTGACACTCAACAGGCATCATATACCATGAGACATTGATAAAAAGGAGCCATATATATACATACAACGAAACTACATACCTGTCGACCTCTCGAGAACGGTTTTGGCTTTCCGCTACAAGTGTGTGCATCACAGAACTGGCGCAAGAAGAATTCTACCATTTGAATAACACCAAAAGAGTTCCATTAGATAGATGATAGTAATGAAAGTTGTAGGGGAGAGTTCTGAAGCTACCGTGAAGATGGCTCGCTACACCCTGGTTGATGGGAAAACAACTATCAGCAAGAGCCTGCAATGAGTTAACAATTGTGTGGTGAATTGTGAGTATATAAAGAAGAAATCTACAGGAAGTTTTTTGAGGTTACCTCACACATGTGTTTGTTTCTTGCAGTAGCAGCAGGATTGCATTTACTTTTCTTCTGTGATACTGAATCCATCACATGATCACAGTGCAATGCACCACAAAGATCTGCCATGCACTTGTTTCGACTCTGGATTAAACACGAGCAAGATGATTCGAGTGCCATATCAGCTAAAACTGAAGTACACAATGCTTTTTCTAACGTCTAGGGGTTATACTCGTGATGTATAAGTAGAAGAAAGGTGTAACAGCCCAAGCTCAAGCCCACCGCTAGAAGATATTGTCCTCTTTAGGCTTTCTCTTTTGGATTTTCTCTCAAGATTTTAAAACGCGTCTACTATAAAGAGATTTTTACACCCTTATAAGGAATGTTTCGTTTTCTCTCCAACCAATGTAGGATCTCACAATCCACCCCTTGGAGCCTAATGTCCTCGCTGGCACACTGCCCAGTGTCTGACTCTGATACCATTTGTAATAGTCCAAGCCCACCGCCAGTAGATATTGTCCTCTTTGAACTTTTCCTTTCGGGGCTTTCGGGCTTCCCCTCAAGGTTTTAAAACGCATCTACTAGAGAGAGGTTTCCACACCCTTATAAGGAATGCTTCGTTTCCCTCTCCAACCAATATGGAATCTCACAAAAGCATAGTGGAAACTATTATTAAGACACAGATCGGTTACTAAAGACACAAAATACTACAGGTACTTGGGTCAGTTTAAGATCTTTTTGACTGAAGTCCATATGAATACCCTGTCTACTCGAATAGGCACGATCGGATAACTAGAAAGAAGCATAAACATATTATAATGTACCTAAAGTTTCGTGTTATATCTACTTGACTATTGCAATATAATCCACTGTGAACGTCAGCCTGAGCATTATCTCAACTAATTAAGATATATACCTTTGATCAAAGGATTAAATGTTCGGTTCCTCCCACCTCACAACAGGAACTCAAAAAAGTATAGACATATAATCCACTACGAACTAACGAAAGCTCACGATTCTTAGAGACGTTCTAGAATGATCTTATATGACTAACTAAGAATCAATTGGGAATTGAATCATCAACGGAAACTTACCACATTCAGCAAATCATAGTGTCTATTGTCAAAATGCTGATCAAGATACTTCTCTTCATAGAATCTTTTTCTACAATATCCACACTTCCAGTCATTAAAATCTAGATGCGTTTTGTGCTGTTCTTGATCTCTGAACATATCATTATCCGGGTGAAGCCTACACTCCGTTGAAATCTTGTGTTTCTTTTTATCCACAAAGGGCATTAGATACTGCGTCGAGGTAAAAACGTTCTGATTTAGTTCGATAAAGTTTCATATCATACGAATGGTCGTATCGATGCGTCGAGGTAAAAACAATAACTATAAGAATCAAATGTTGAATGAATACCTCCTCAATTATTTTCCACGCCGCCCTACTCCTTTCTCTCGAGCAGTGTACCTCACGAGCATCGTTCCAATCCTGCTTTGGAGCACTGGACATCAACTCCAAAGCTCAAAATTTATTACCATTATATAGGAACATAGGTGACGGTAAAGAAACCAAATATTACCTCTCAGTGGCAGAATCTTTAGAACCCTATGGAAAATGACAGCAAAGAAGAGGGTCATTCATAGAATTGAAGTTCCTCCAGTAATAAATTGCATTTAACCATAACAAGTAAGAAAATGGAAAAAATATTGTCTTCCTCTGGCTTTTCCTTTCGGGCTTCCTCTCAAGGTTTTTAAAACGCGTCTACTAGGGACAGGTTTCCACACGCTTATAAATAATGTTTCATTTCCTCTCCAACTGATGTGGATCTCACAATCCACCCCTTTCGGGGTCCAACGCCCTCACTGGCACTCGTTCCCTTCTTCAATCGATGTGGGACCCCCCAATCCACCCCCATTTAGGGCCTAACGTCTTTGCTGGTGCACCGCCTCGTGTCCACTCCCTTCGGGGTTCAGCCTCCTCGTTGGCATATCGTCCGATGTCTGGCTTTGATACCATTTGTAACAAGTTAAGCCCACCGCTAGCAGATATTGTCCTCTTTGGGCTTTCCCTATCAGGCTTCCCCTCTAGGTTTTTAAAATGCATCTGCTAGGGAGAGGTTTCCACCGTTGTAAAGAATGCTTCGTTCTCCTCTCCAACCGATGTGGGATCTCACAATCCACCCCTTCGGGGCCCAGCGTCCTCGCTGACACTCGTTCCCTTCTCCAATCGATGTGGGACCCCCTAATTCACCCCCTTTAGGGCCCAGCGTCCTTGCTGACACACCGCCTCACCCCCTTCGAGACTCAGCCTCCTCGCTGGCACATCGCTTGGTGTCTGGCTCTGATACCGTTTGTAACAATTGACTGACTCTGATACCATTTGTAACAATCCAAACCCACCACTGGCAAATATTATCCTCTTTGGGCTTTCCCTTTCAAGCTTTTAAAACTTGTCTACATCCTTGTAAAGAATGCTTCGATCTCTTGCCCAACCGAGGTGAGATCTCACATCCTCACTCATAGCACACAAATTCAGTGGAAGTGGACATAAGTAGCGATGAAAAATACAACAAAGTTTCAGAAAACTTCAAATATTTCGACTCCCAGATGAATTTTCAGAAATCACATCAACAAATTTTCATTGGATTTCGATGCAGAAACGCAGAGAACATTCTAAAACAGATCATCCGGTCAAAGAGACCAAGTCGTGAGGAATCTAAATCAAACTCTAGATCATTTCAACAAAGTCACTACTATAGAATCTTCCCATCCATCGTTCATTTGCGAAATCAAACAGTGAAATTACATTTCAAAAGGGATTAATGAAGATCCATCTCGCAAAATTTGAATAATAACAGACGGAAGTTAAATTCATCGGCGAAAATAAGCACCTGATTCAATGATTGAAGAGGAAGAGTGGAAGAAACTCTCTGAGGTCGCAACGAAAAAAGAAGAGAGATGACGAGAAGAGCAACCCATATGGATCGCCTTCCCATCGTCGATGTCATGGAACCCCCACCAGCGGAATTGAAAGCAAGCCTCTGCACAGGAAGCTCGAGAAAAACTCCGAAGAAAAGTGGGGGCCAGTTTTTAATTTTGGAAAGATCTGGGGAAGTTTTGCAATTTTTGCATTCTCTTGGGGAGTAATGCTGTAAATTTTTTCCAACCAAACCATTTTTATTAAATAATGTTTTAAAATATTAATTCGAAAAATATTTATTTATTTTTTTTAAAAATTTAATTAAGATTTATAGCTCCACTTAAATATTTATTTTAAAAAATTACCCCATAATAAAAAAGATATATTTTGAATAATAAAATAAAATATTGTATAAAATGAATTTTTTAAAATTAAACAACTTAGGTATTTTCCACACCCTTATAAATGGTGGTTTGTTTTCCTATTCACTCCCTTCGGGGCCCAGCGTTCGCCCCTAAATCTACCTCCCTTGGGGCTCAATGTTCTTACTGGCACACTGCCTCGTGTCTACCCTCGGGGCCCAGCGTTCGCCCCCAAATCCACCCCCCTTTTGGGGCCCAGTGTTCTTGCTGGCACACCGCCTCGTGTCTAACCTCGGGGCCCAGCGTCCGCCCCCAAATCCACCCCCCTTTGAGCCCCAGTGTTCTTACTGGCACACCGCCTCGTGTCTACCCCCCACATCATCCAATGTCTGGCTCAAAGTGGTGCAGCGGAAGCGTGGTAGGCCCTAATCCACAGGTCACAGGATTGAAATTTGACTCTAATACCATTTGTAACCGCCCAAATATTGTCCTCTTTGGGCTTTCCCTTTTCGAGCTTCCCCTCCCCGCTTTAAAACGCGTCTACTAGAGGAAGGTTTCCACACCCTTATAAACGGTGGTTTGTTCTCCTCCCCAACCAATATAGGATATTACAACTCAATTCATAAAATTTTTATTTATTTGAATCTAAATCGTAAAAAAAAATGTTGGGATAATTCTTTTATTTATTTATATTTTTTTTTGTAGAAGGAATTTATAGAGATTTTTTTATTTTTTATTATTGAGTTTAGCTTGTCTTAATTTTAATTTGACGAGTTTAAGGTTAATTATTTTCCTAAAAAAAAAAAAAAATCCAAATTTTGTTCCTCTGTCTTTCTCATCTGCTTAGGGTTTGTGGCGCTGTTCGTTCTCCCACTCTCTTCCGACTTCTCTTTTTCATCTCCATCAGTAAATCTCTCTAAAAGATAAAGCTTCATTTAGTTTCAAAAGCTTCGCTCTGTTCCAATGGCGTCGATTCTTCAAAAGCTCATTAGAAAATCGCCACCTACAAGAACAATTGCTGCTCTCGCTAGCCAGACCTCACAAAATCTCTCATTGCCCTATATTCTTCACCAGCCTCTTGACATTGATAGGAAACCAGACGGCCATTGTGATTCTAATTTAAACGCTGTTTCAACTTCGAATCCGTCTCAATTTTCGCTGTTCTTCCCTAGTTTTCCATTTGGGCTTTGCTTGCAGCAAATCTCCTCAACTGGCTCGATTCGATTCGAGCCGGATTATGTTGAAGATGACGATTCTCGGAAGCTGTGGGCTGATAGCGTGAAGAAGAAGAGGAAACGCAAGATGAACAAACACAAGTACAAGAAGCTAAGGAAGAGACTTCGTAGACAGACATAGTTTCTTTATTTGGTAAGACTATATATATTCTTTTTAGTCTTGTAGAATGGGTTTAAAAATTTTCCTTCGTCATTGTTCTTAGTGGCCAATTCTTAGAGATTATTGTTTCGAGCTTAAAGGAAGCTTTTCATAGATGTGCTTTTTGTTTTCCCTGAATAAGTTTGGAAGTGTTGTGTTAACTTGAAGTACAAATGATTCATACTTCCTGTGTAGGGGTTTATTGCAGATTTTGTTTTCATTTTGCTCTTGTTTTAATATTGATTGTGGGATCTGAAATGACGCATTCCTGGTGTGGAAACCTCTCTTTAACAGAGGATAATATTTAGGGTTTAGGATAATATTTGCTAGTGGTAGGTTTGGTTGTTACAAATGGTATTAGAGCCACCAATGTGCCAACAAGGACGCTGGGCCTCCAAGGAGGTGGATTGTGAGATCCCACATCGGTTCGAGAGGGGAACGAAGCATTCCTTATAAGGGTGTAGAAACTTCTCCCTAACAGACGCTTTTTAAAACTTTGAGGAGAAGCCTTTGAAAGAAAAACCCAGAGAGGACAATATTTGTTAACGGTGGGCTTGGGCTATAAACACCAAGCGATGTGTTAGCAGGATGTTGAGCCTCCAAGGGGGGTGAATTGTGAGATCCCACATTGGTTGGAGAGGGGAACGAAGCATTCCTTACAAGGGTGTGGAAACCTCTCCCTAACAAACGCTTTTTAAAACCTTGAGGGGAAGACCTTGAAAGAAAAACCCAGAGAGGACAATATTTGTTAACGGTGGGCTTGAGCTGTAAACACCGAGTGATGTGTTAGTGAAGATGTTGAGCCTCCAAGGGGGGTGAATTGTGAGATCCCACATCGGTTGGAGAGGGGAATGAAGCATTCCTTATAAGGGTGTGGAAACCTCTCCCTAGTAGATGTGTTTTAAAATCTTGAGGGGAAGTCCTTAAAGGAAAAGTCCAAAGAGGACAATATCTACTCGCGGTGGGCTTAAGCTATTACATTGATACATCAAAGAGTGCTTTCTCGTTTATTCCCAATGAATATCTTCTAGGTAATACTAAAATTTGCTGGTTATAGAAGGTTAAGATTAGACCTTACTGTTCTGATTAATGAAAGCTTCTTTTGTGCTGGTAATCAAATGGTGGTAATACATTAAGCTATGAGCCTCCTAATGGATTCTTCTTGTGTATGGTAATAAGTTTGCTTGCTCAGAAAATTCATAGAAATATAGAGTTCTTTTAAAGTGGTTTTATGCTCTTTGATCGGCGGTATGGTGAGGGGTCATAGAATATGATATGTCCGTGAGAAATTCTCTTTTGTCAAGGACAACGTCCTTGAGACGTTAGACTTTGCAAATCGTTCGCTGAAAACTGATATATCTTCGGACATTGGACTTCTCTTTTTGGACGACTAGCTTTTGTCTCTTCCTAGTTCCTACCTCGACCTCAGCTGTCAACTCCCTAACCCACAAATAAAAAAGAAAAAAAGGATTGCGTTTTGTAATAGTCCAAGCCCACCGCTAGCTGATACTGTCCCTTCTAGCCTTTTCCCTTAAAGGTTTTAAAACGCGTATGCTAGGGAGAGATTTCCACACCTTTATAAGGAATGCTTCTTTCCCCTCTTCAACCGATGTGGGATCTCACAATCCACCTTCCTTGGAGACTTAGCGTCCTCGTTGGCACACCGCTTGGTAACTGACTCTGACACTATTTGTAATAGTCTAAGTCTACCTCTAGTGGATATTGTCCTTTTTGGGCTTTTCCCTCCAAGTTTTAAAACGCGTCCACTAGAGAGAGGTTTTCACACCCTTATAAGGAATGCTTTGTCCCCTCTCCAACCGATGTGGGATCTCCCAAGTTTCTTAACCTCTCTATGGGATATTGAAAATGATCTCGAGGCATAGCCCATAACGCAAGGAATATAAGCCAATTTATTCTATTTAGTTTGCACGAATTGGTCTGTAATCAAGGTGTGACAGCTTTTTCTCTTTGTTATTTGCTAGGTAAATATGGCTCGTTTATTCTTCTAGCAACCTTCTTTGTCTTGCACTCTGATTAGCATTCATATTAATTCATCATAAATATAACTTGTCTAGAATCATGCTTCTCATAAGAAAAAAACATTGCTTACAGGCTGGAAAACGATGTGATTATGTACGAAGATCGACTCCCATTGTTAGCTAAGATTTATTAGTCAAGGTAGCGTAAGCATAACGGTATCTCAATGTGATGAACTATGCACATGAATTTTGAAAAATTGAGATAGAAGGTCGGAAAAGGCCGTGATAATATAGGAAGATGCACCTCCATTGTTAACTGATACTATGCACACTAATTTTGAATTGAGGCAGAAGCTCAAGAGTGCTCTAGAATTAGATATTTCCAATTTTTTGAACCAATTATTGTTGTTGGGAGCCTACTGATGTATTGATTGACAGGAAATGACAACAATGATCTGATATGCTTTGGTTTTGTATCTGCTGCTGTGACATATATATGCAAGAGTTCTTTTGCAGAATGTATTGTCGTTCTTGTTTGATGTAATTGAAGAGGGCTTGTCCCATTCAATAAGCTGTGAAGTAGACTATATACTTGCCACCTCTTGTACGTTGCCACATGGCAACTTCATCGGTGTTCTCGGTGTCGATCTTAGCATGGTAGAAATAGCATCTTACCTGCTGAAGGACAAAAATGATTCATTTGTTTTCATTATGGATAAGAAAGACTCTTTGATATGCTATTAGGCTAAGAAAGTTGCTTCATCGGATCTAAACCGATATCGCTACTAAACTTGATCATCGATGTGAGATCTCACATCGGTTGGAGAGGGAGAAACAAAGCATTCCTTATAAGGGTGTGGAAATCTCTCCTTAGTAGCCGTGTTTTAAAATCGTGAGGCTGATGGCGATAGGTAACGGGCCAAAGCGAACAATATATTGCTAATGGTGGGCTTGGGTTTTTACAATTGGTATAAGAGCCAGACACCAGGCAGTGAGCTAGCAAGGACGCTGGGCCCCCAAGGGGGTGGATTATGAGATCTCACATTGGTTGGAGAGGGGAACAAAGCATTCCTTATAAGAGTGTGGAAACCTCTCTCTAGCATATGTGTTTTAGAACTGTGAGGTTGACGACAATACGTAATGGGCCAAAGCTGATGATATTTGCTAGCGGTGAGCTTGAGCTGTTACAAATGGTATTAGAGCCAAACACTGGACGATGTTCCAGCGAGCAAGCTGTGCCCCCAAGGGTGTGGATTGTGAGATCCCACATCGGTTGGAGAGGAAAATGAAGTATTTCTTATAAGGGTATGGAAACCTCTCCCTAGCAGACGCATTTTAAAACCGTTTTAAAATAGACAATATTTGTTACCGGTGGGCTTGAGCTGTTACAATCAACGTGCTCAATGTATTCGGTAAACCCCAACCATTCCGTGTCGAGCAAAGAAATCTTCGAGGAAAATCTAGATTCCCTGCCATGGATGGGGGACATGGCTCATCATCCCATCCCAAAAAAAAAAAAAAAAAAA